CCTCTCTCGGCGTCTGTTCTGTGCAGTGAGCGGCAGAGAAGTAGTGCATTCAGTTGGCCGCATCGCAGCCGACTCGTCAATAAATGAGTACAAAACAGCGTTTCCTAGCACCTGTCGCTTACTGATTGTTTGGAATTATAAATATGAGCGTAGTTCGTATATCACATGCACTTTTTTGTTTGTTGTTTTTTTTAGTTTGTTACTCAGACGCAGGCAGTGCGCTGCATGAGACAAAAAAGTAATATAGCCAAAACAACCGCATAGCCGCTCTTTAGTGTAGATGCATGTTGATTTTATCAGACGATGCCGCGATTATAAATGAGAGTAACTCCTGGTTAACATGTATTAAAAGGGGTCGTGTTCAGTCACTATTTAGTGTGGTATTTTTTGACAATATTCACTCATCATGACAGTAAAATAGGGGATTCTAAGTCAATATACTGCAGGATTTCCTCTCTCAATCAGTAGAAAATATGGTTAACACCCGTCATGCATGAAAAAAAAATAATACCGTCATGTACCGTGAAACCGGTATAAGTTTGAAAAATACCGTGATATACATTTTTGGTCATACCGCCCAGCACTAGTTGCAGTATTAAACAAGGCTTTTGCATGATTAAAAAAAACAGAATGCTAACTATTAATGTACTATGAATAGCTTAATCTGTACAATGGGCTAGTAATAAATGTTTACATTTCTACTCAAACCGTCTTGAGCTCAATGGCCCTCTTGTGATCTCCTTGTAGGACTTGTTTTTAAACCTGGTGGCTGGTCCTGCTAATGACGAACTACCATTTTCCAAAACAAAGCTATGTTTTCCAACTGGCATTGAAGTGAACCTTGAATTTAACTGGATCACATTGCTTGAGCCCCAATACACAACAAAAACCTATCACTCAAAAACATTGAAACCATATTGAGAAGTCATATTTTACTAACATTGTTTAACTATGCATCAGGCACTTTGTGGAACATTTGGAGTGGTGGTTCCTATAAAATTAATAGTTTAAACGAACAGACTTGCAGATTTCGAACGCTACCCAGCCAACATTGATATGTGGGCCCCATATGGGTTATGCCTGGGCAGCATGGGTTCCGTGTGGGCATGGGCTGAAAATGGGCAATTTATGTGGCTCCCATGTGTGTTTCACAATGTGGGTCCCATATAGGTTTGAACATATGGGACCTTTATGGGATCTATGTGGGCATGGGCTGAAAATGGGCAATGTATGTGGGTCCCATGATCTTATGAATGTAGTGGCCAATCAGCGTTTAGATTAATCATCGCGCCGGAGTTTTGAATTTCGCACCCTGAATTCTGCACTCATCATAAACAACAATGCAGCTTCAGTGATTATAACGGGAGATTTTACCAAAGTGCATAAAACCTAACGTAACTTCAACCATATAGGAAGTATGTAATGTTAATTAATATTCTACTATTAATATTCTAATTAAAATTCTACTCTACTTAAATTTAAAATTGCACTGCTACAGCACTCTCAGAAATAAAGATACGAAAGCTGTCACTGGGGCGTTACCTTTTCAAAAGGTACACTTTTATGCCTTTTGGGTATGCAAGTACCGTTGAACTTCTACTGATGTAATGTTTATATGTGAATAAAAGCTGAATTTCAATCTGTTTACCATGTAATGTGATCATGTCTCTTCAGAAGACTTGTATTAAACCCCTCGATTCTTACGGATTTATTTTACAATCTCTTTATGATTGTTTTGAAGCATCAGAGTTTTGGGGAAGTAAACTTTCAATAAAGCAAAAGAAATCGCTCAGATTTAAAAAAGAAAAAAGATCTTAATTTGTGTTCTGAAAATTAATTAATTTCTTATGAGTTTGGAGTGACATGAGATTGAGCAAATTTTTGGGTGAATTAAGCCTTTAACTTAACTGTCAATTTTTATGTTATGTAAGATTAGTTACATAAGACCATTTGTTAAGATGGTATGACCCTGTTGGTTTATCAGAATGTTAATGCTGATGTTCAACATTTTACAAAAACTTGAAAAGTATAAAAAAATGTCAGAAAATTATAATAAAGTATTATTGAACCTGTACAACATTTTAATGTATGATTTTTCAAATTGCACACGTTTTGTGAGTTTGTAGATTAATAAACAGTGGAATGTTCATGCAGAAAACTGACATTTACCTAACTGAAATACTGATGTTGCTTTTATCAATATATATATATAGTAAATAATTATTTATAATTATACTGTCCAGGTGAGATGCCTCAAAAAAACCTAATCATAACACGCATATACACTATGTGGGGCCAGTCCAGTACCCATACTGGGCCCTAGTATATCCCACATGTGCTTCATAAGTGGGACCAATATGGGTCTTATATGTGTTGCCCAGTTGGGCCCCACATTAGCCCCAGTCAGGCCCCATATGAGATTCATATGGGCTAATTCGGATGGGGCCCACATGGAACCCATGGATAAACCCATGTAGGGCCCATATTTACAGCCCATATGGGGCCCCATGATAGAATGTTGGCTGGGTAATTTGATTCGCGAACCATTTGTTGATTTGGTGGAAAAGATTAGCACCTGTTTGGCATGGAATCAGAAGGTTTATCTGACAAAAAAAAAAAAATCTGCATCAAATTGATACAGAAAAATATCCAATAAACGTTCAATGGAAATGCTACATTTACAACACTATACAGTTGCCGCGCGGGAATTCACGGATCATTTTGAATTGAGGTATAACTTGAATCAAAGTGAATCATTTAAACGAACCGTCTGACTCGCTGAAATTAACAGCA